CGACAGATTTTCATGGGAATGTCCTAAAATCTGCATAAAGAAAATATGCAGCATTTTTCCACCAGTGGTGTGTTTCCACTAATCGGACTTGTGCGTGATGACGTAGTACACGCAAAACGTAATTTTCGCTTAAGTTTTCATGTATCGAATAAAACTCTCAAGTTCAATGTGTTTCCATCTCATTTTCAACTCCACGGATAGTTTTGTAACAAACACTCTGGTCTTGGCACGTGCGCTCTAGCCAATAGCTGGCATATAGCCTACAGGTAGTCTACATGATGAAATTATTATGGAAAAACGGCAGTTAAGCATCGATCATTATCATGACACCAGAATCAGACCCTCGATATTTATTGGAAAGGAGCATCAAGATCACCGTGCACTTTCATCGCCTTGTGAAGTTGATCATAAAGTATTTAATCTGTAGCCTAACAAACTCCATGGTTGCCCTAGTCGTAGTGGGAGGACCACACAACATATCATCGTGTGACTCCAAGTTTACTTCGATATGATGGTTATTATATCAATATTTGCGCATAAAGGCGTTTCCACCACCATTTCTCGCATAATTAATTTTACCGACACAAAAAGATCCCACCATGTCGAACTAAATAATTATCTGTCAGCATTTATACAATTGTACCGAAACTTCCGCTTTCCATCACAGCTGTCGTGATTATTTTTAAATATACGGTATGACTACTCTCATAAAAACAGTGGATGAAACGTGGCTATTGTTCCAATACTTTTGGAGCTCACTATAAAAAGCACCCTATGTGAATGCAGCAGTACACACAGCTGTCTTACCAAAATAATGCAAACTAAATGCTGAAAGTAGTAGCCTAGTTAATCATGCATGCAAACATAAATACTGAATAGCAGTTTGGCTTAGAATACCGACACAACTGCGAATGTGAACGAATGAATGCAAACAGAACAGAACAAGCATAATAAAAAAAATTCAGATCGATAAAGGCATGACACAATCTATATTTAGGCTAGTTACATTAACAACAAACAACACAATAAACAAAAGGCGAATGGAGATCCAAATAACCAAAACATAGCCTACATCAGTGAGTTGCAGCCATGCACAGCTGTCTTGCCAAACAAATAGGCCTATAAGCCCGCTTCAAACATGGAAAACCATGCTATGTATATCATCATGCTTCTATCATCTATACCACAATAAACACAAAAGTTCAAATGCCGACACCATTGAGTGCTTTTGAAAAAGAAGTGACAGGTTGCCACGAAATCTCCGCTGCGCTGTATCAGCACCATGGACAGCGCCCTACACACTAAAGCAAGGCGGTTGAAAACCTAGACTGGCTAAGGAAGTCATTTTGCCATTCCATACCCTAGATTTTTGCTGAACTGACGCCACTGGCTATACCACCAAGATGTTGATCAAAACCAACCAGCTAGATTGTTTTCCTGAGTAATCGATCATTCCATTCTCCTCGAAATCTTCTTGAAGGATCCCCTTCAAATGCCAGTTGGATTAGTTGAACTTTCCTCTGGTGTAGCATGTTTCTTCTGTGCTGACTGAACACGTTTGTCAAAGTGGAAAATGAGTTCTCGCATGTAGCTGTGGACGCCCCACTCATGAGCCGTATGATTTCATTTTGAATATCGTATGACGTGTATGTGGCATTGTGGGGTATGGTGCTAAACACCTTGGCAAGTTCATTGTCTTTTCGGAGAGTATATTTCATCATAGACAGAAAAGGTCAACTGCCCCTTCCTCTCTTGACTCTATCGCGTCCAATGTCCCCCTCTGTGGTTGCTGGTTTGCAACAAGGAACTCAATAATGTCCACAATCGCCGACAAATATATACGATTTCTTGCCAGCTGCCCATCATTAACAAATGTTGACACCTCATTTCCCATAGCACTTCAAACTTGTTTTTCTTTCCACAGTGCAGTGCATTTCAAATGTTCTTTGCTTGATGAGTGCCTTGCTAATCCTTTGGTAATATCAATAGCATGCTTCCTGTTAGAATACCCGCCTTGGGTGAAAGCCTTGTCTGCATTAGCATTGGACCCAATACAGAACTTTCGACATGGGATACAAAATGCCGCATCCGCAGAATAATTGCCAAATAATACCTTGATCCGTATTGTTGGTTTGGGTACTAGCCCCACCTGGCCTCAGATGAGTCGTTACCCACCTTTAAACTTTAAATTATTTTTTTTAAATATTAAATTGCCGACACCAAAGTTAAACAAAGTTAAACAAAGTTAAAAGGACAGCAAGTATCTTGGAATAAGATTGAGGCTACTGGACTCACTGGCCGCTGCTTTGGAGGAGAATTGGTGGCTGATGCCACCTATTGGAATAGAAGGGAGTTACTGCAATGACGTCACAAACATATGACAGACAGCTTGCTAAAATTGTTCTTCAAACAAATAAATGACGTGTTTCCATATTATCATCCAATGTGTTATTTGCAGTCATTTTCATCTGTTAGGTGAAATCTAATATTTTTATTCAGCAATACATGAAATGGGCCAAAATGAAATGGGCCAAATAGTTCAGCTTGTATGTGTTGTGTCATGTATGGGTGAAGCCAGGGAATATAGTGGGTCAAGTAATACAAGGTCCATATGTTTTACACAAAATGTCTTTATGGAAGTATAATGAAAGACACAGGGCAAGTAGAGTTTGGATGTAATGTTTTTTTTTTTAACAACAAAAACAGCTAAATGAATCTACACATCTCTCTCTGTACAAGCTCTGGTAATACTGTATGTCAAGTCAAACAATGAGTAACAGACATTTAAAACATGTTTATAACAATCAGAGGTCTATAGCAAGAGCTGCAATTAAGCGACCTTCAGTCTCTCTCTCTCCAGTCCCTCCCTGAGTTTCATAAGGCACGGTTCAGACATACCGAGAGCTTGGGACTATAAGGTTCTATCTGCAAAAATATGATTCTGAGATAATTGACTTTAATGTTCTGAACCCTCATTGATTTGAATGGTGTCAGCAATTTTGATTTTGTAGTATTTTTAATTTAATAACATTAATTAGGGTATTTAGAGTACTATATAGAACACTGAGCAGAACAAGGCTATGTCAAGAACTAAATTTTGACAAAAATGCAGGTAGAATCTTGTAGTCCCAATCACACACAATATTCCTATCACCCACTGTGCAGATAATAAAAATGAATCAGTAGTGTACTCAATTTAGTATTCTGTGGACATCTAGTGGACACTGTGTGCAATCCTGAATGGCAACCTTCAGTGGCTTGCGAAAGTTTTCACCCCCCTTGGCATTTTTCCTATTTTCTTGCCTTACAACCTGGAATTAAAATTGATTTATGGGGGGTTTGTATCATTTGATTTACACAACATGCCTACCACTTTGAGGATGCAAAATATTTTTTATTGTGAAACAAACAAGAAATAAGACACAAAAACAGACAACATGAGCGTGCATAACTATTCACCCCCCCCCCCCCCCCCCCCCCAAGTCGATACTTTGTAGAGCCATCTTTTGCAGCAATTACAGCTGCAAGTCTCTTGGGGTATGTCTCTATAAGCTTGGCACATCTAGCCACTGGGATTTTTGCCCATGAGATCTGGGCTTTGACTAGGCCATTCCAAGATATTTAAATGTTTCCCCTTAAACCACTCGAGTGTTGCTTTAGCAGTATGCTTAGGGTCATTGTCCTGCTGGAAGGTCAACCTCAGTCCCAGTCTCAAATCTCCGGAAGACTGAAACAGGTTTCCCCTCAAGAATTTCCCTGTATTTAGCACCATCCATCATTCCTTCAATTCTGACCAGTTTCCCAGTCCCTGCCGATGAAAAACATCCCCACAGCATGATGCTGCCACCACCATGCTTCACTGTGGGGATGGTGTTCTCGGGGTGATGAGAGGTGTTGGGTTTGCGCCAGACATTTTCCTTGATGGTCAAAAATCTCAATTTTAGTCTCATCTGACCAGAGTACCTTTTTCCATATGTTTGGGGAGTCTCCCACATGACTTTTGGCGAACACCAAACGTGTTTGCTTATTTTTTTCTTTAAGCAATGGCTTTTTTCTTCCATAAAGCCCAGCTCTGTGGAGTGTACAGCTTAAAGTGGTCCTATGGACAGATACTCCAATCTCTGCTGTGGAGCTTTGCAGCTCCTTCAGGGTTATTATCTTTGGTCTCTTTGTTGCCTCTCTGATTAATGCCATCCTTGCCTGGTCCGTGAGTTTTGGTGGGCGGCCCTCTCTTGGCAGGTTTGTTGTGGTGCCATATTCTTTCCATTTTTTAATAATGGATTTAATGCTGCTCCGTGGCATGTTCAAAGTTTCAGATAATTTTTTATAACCAATCCCTGATCTGTACTTCTCCACAACTTTGTCCCTGACCTGTTTGGAGAGCTCCTTGGTCTTCATGGTGCCGCTTGCTTGGTGGTGCCTCTTGCTTAGTGGTGTTGCAGGCTCTGGGGCCTTTCAGAACAGGTGTATATATATATGTGACAGTTAGATTGCACACAGGTGGACTTTATTTAACTAATTATGTGACTTCTGAAGGTAAGTGGTTGCACCAGATCTTATTTAGGGGCTTCATAGCAAAGGGGGTGAATACATATGCAAGCACCACTTTTCAGTTATTTATGTTGTAGATTTATTTTTTTAACAAGTTCTTTTTTAAATTTCACTTCACCAATTTCGACTATTTTGTGTATGTCCATTACATGAAATCCAAATAAAAATCAATATAAATTACAGGTTGTAATGCAACAAAATAGGAAAAACGCCAAGGGGGATGAATACTTTTGCAAGGCACTGTACTTGCCCAAATGCGCCCTAATGCGTAATGATCGATAATCACAAGTGGATGGTCCTACATTCAGATGTTAGTGACTTCAAATTGTCATTAAATTTTTAATTACTCTAAATTACTCTGGTCTACTCTTGTAATTACATACAGTATGTCCGATGTCGTTTTCTTTAAATATCCGTTTTCTTATGGCTTTTCTTATGTCCAATTGGTTTTAATTGTGCGACGTCATATGGCGTGAAAGGTGGTGCCGTTCCCGGAAGAACTCGTGACAGATAGGGCAGGTGAGTTTCTCCTCTCGCCTCCTCCTCACCTGGGACTCCGCCGCGAACTCCTTCTTGTGGTGCGAGCGCATGTGTAACACTAGGTCAGACGTCATGCGGAAGGAGAGGTTACACTTGGCGCACCAGTTTTGCACTGACACCCCAATGGTGGTAAACGTTGGTGGAAGAATGGTTAAAGACGACGTGGTTTGTAGTTGGTCTCCAATGCTCCTGGACCAGTGCTCTGGCGCGTAGGGGAAAGCGTTTCCAGTAACCGGTGTGGGTAGGGTCTGTGCGCGAGATAAATCACCATTCATATTAGATGCCAACAGATTGTTGTATCCCAGAACAGTCTTTGAGGTAAAAACGTCTCTCACGTCCTCTAGGCGGGTCGATGGAGCAGGTAATGTGTTGGATGGGTGCGCTGTAGAGCCGTTAGACGTCCTTTTACAGGGTTTACAGAAAGCGCTTTTCTGCTCCTCCTGTCCACTGCGCAGAACGAATGAAAAGGCACTGCTGTTGCTGTTTGAGTTTAAATCAGAGCTCATCTCCCGCACTGTCTCAGAATCAGCCTCCGTTGGCTTTTCTTTCTCGTGCGTAAAACTCATTTTCGTTGCTCCAACCTCTGTAAACGCACTATTTTTACATTCCACGTGGTCCTTATTGAGCTGGTACTTCTCTGCCTTCAGTTTCAAGGAAGAGCCAGTTGACTCTGGCGCAGTTAGGCGGTAGTCTCTGCTTATCTGTGTGATGTTGTTGTTGTTCGAGATGTTGGTTTTCTCCAGTAGCACCGGTTTCCTCCATCGGGGATAACCCGTCTCCTCGTGTTTCCATTTCCGCGGGGAAATCTCAGCGTCCTCGCTGGCGCCGTATCTTTTATGTTCCAGATCCCTGGCGATGTTGTGGAAGTCTGTGACGCGTCGTTGCCGCTTTATCTCCATGTGTTTGTGTTCGTAGGCCTCTCTGCTCAGCGCGTCATACTTCACCTGCGCGCACAGGAAGCGGCAGTGGGCCAAGTAGGGATGCTCATTCTTGAAGACCTGGTTACATGTTGCGCATTTGAGCTCTGTGAAGAGATATACAATTTGTTCGTTAATATGTACATTACAAAACACATTGTTGCAAAATTAAGTCAGACATAAACTAATCAAATAACGATAGTTTCTGTCGTTTCCTTTTCATTTTGTCGTTTCCAATTACGCATTTCGCATTTACGCAGGCTACAACAAAACTCCCGGCAAAATGCTGAAACAACCAAACAACATCAACGGTAACATTAGTAAGCCTATATGTTGAAATGAGGATGATGATGAAGAAGATTAGGATGGTGACGAAGAGCTGTATTTCTATAGCGCTTTCCCAAGTGTATATTTCTCTCTCACCTTCATTATGTCCTCTAGTTGAGATGTCAGTGAAGCCCAGTAGATGTGACAGCTCCTGGTCATACCACACCAACAGTTCCTCTTCCTGACGTATGTCCCTGGTGGTCCGGAAATACAGCTGGCCTCCCTTCAGGAACGCTTCGGTGTTCTGCTCCTCCCGGCCACACGCCGCCTGCACCAGCCGCAGCCAGGACAGCACTAGAGCAGAGCTGCGCATAGCCTCGGGGTCCACCTGTTGAGAGAAATCATTATTAATATTAATTCACAGAGACATCATTGTCAAAATGTAAATGAGGTTCGCCTCTCCTCAGTTATAGTGAAAACACTGAATTGATTAGAATTTGTAAAGGTGTAAATGCGACCAAATGGCATGGTCAATCATTTCCCATGGGTAGCCTATATGGATGGCAATGAAAATGTATTAGGCTACTCCAACACAAATATCTAATTGTAGAACATGCCATTTTGTTGTTGACGTTTTTTAATACGATTTTGATTTAGCCTATAAGTAGCCTATGTTTTTATGCATTTGTGCACTCCCTTGTATATATAGATCAAAGGCTATTGTGTTCATTTTCTCTGTGGTATCCCAGGTTGCAAGTTAAATTGTGTTATTAAATATAAAATGAACTTGCCCTGAACACGTATGATTTGCTTCTCTTGTCGCAGGATTTGAGCGCTATGAAGGCAATGGTGTCATAGAAAGTATTCTGAAGGACGCACGGGCCGAACTGTGCCCCAGCAGGGATGTTGCGAGTGACGTGCACGCTGGTATAGAGGTCTGTCGCGTGATGCTGGAGGAATTTACCCTCACTGGTCCAGAGGGAACGAGGTAAAAAACTATGGTCCATGGTTAGTCTGTAGGAAAGAAAACATACGTTAATAACAATGCATTGTTAAAATTAATGTTATTCATTGCCCTCTGATCCAAAGTTTAGGACATTTTAAAGATGATGAATAGAGAGTTTGAATATGATGCTTTTGTGAAAGAATTGTAAAAACGTATTGCATTCTTATATTATGAAGTAGGCCTAATCAATTATCCCAAATAAGTCGCCCTATATAACTATCATTTATGCGATTCGAAAATAGTAGGCTAGATCTATGAGTAGAGGTTTTCATTTGTTTTTCTATTTATGAATAAATAGGCCTATGCATTTTATCGAAATATTCGTTGTTTTCCATCAGAAATCAATTTTTTTAATAGCAAATAGTGCAGACTCCAGACACAATTAAGCCTATAGGAAAATATGTTTTTTGGTTAATCATAATTAATATGCCACAATTTGAATCACGTTCAATTTTATAACATATACATATTTTTTAATGTTTAAAACCACATATTTGAGAGTTCATATACCCATGACACTGCTGTCATTGAGAAGTTTATTTACTTTTTGTATTTTGTATTTTTCAACCATATTTTTGAGTAGCAAATTCGGATTTATTATATCATTCAGCTAAATTACCTCCGACAATGTGTAGCAGGCATGTAATGGGTTTGACTTCTAGCATCCTTTGTCTCAGTTTTTCAGTCGGTTTGTCCCATTGTCTTCCCATCTGCGCTGCAACTGACTCCTCTGTCTACATGCGTCTATGTTTCGAGTCAGTATGGTCATATTAATATATTCATTATAGCCACACTGAGATTTGTTGTAAACAATGTCCATTCACAGGTGTTGGTCTATTCACTTGGGTTGGACATTGTGTCCATTTTAGTGTAGGCTATAGGCTTTTGATTAATAAGGAATATTTCCTCTGGATATATCAAACACAATGCATATTAAATAAAACATTTATATTAAGCTTTAGGTCTATTTCCAATAAATGTAATAGCCTAACAATGTCTGATGAGAAGGTTTGTAATCACAAACAAACACCAGTTGTGGCATATAGCTTTGCTAAAAAGAACACTTTCCCTTTTCCAAAAAAACTACTTATCCAAGAGACCCCAAACTTGTGTGTTGCATGCGCATAGCCCACTCACCGGCTGGTCGTGGAGGTGGCGTGTGGCTCGGTATGTCCGCGAGGAGGCTGGTTATCAGCAGGTACACTCTTCCCGGTATAACGATTCTCCTTCCTTCGGTTGCTGTTACTGTCTGAGAGCGAGCGTGATCTGCCTCGTTACTGCCTCTCTGCTCCGCTCACACACACACTTAATGGCCGTGTTCGAGAGGATCAAAACCGTAATGTATCATGGGTAAATTGTGACTGACTGATCTACAAATAATAATGAGTGGTTATTTATGATGCAAGGTTCTTTGTTGATCAGTTGGTCGGCAGTCGCCTGCACTGTCGGCTGCAATGTCGGAACAAGCCCATTATCTCCATCAGTGACAGGAGCAGTGAGGTGTGCTGACACACACACACACACACACACACACACACACACACACGGTCTGCCTTACATCAGCCCCTCCAGGGGAACTCTGATTGGTTCTTTTCTGGTTTTACAGTCCGGCTAATTAGCAACAGAGGAACTCTGAACTGGTAAAGAAAGAGAGAGAGAGAGACCCATTTTTGCTCAAGGTAGCACAATTCATCGTCATAATTGTTTAGTAGAGTCGAATTGTTAGTTGCAAAGAGATAACGTTATGCTTAATTTTTACCCAAACGAATTGTTATTAAGTTTTGTTATCCATCTTCTCGGGGAAAACCCATACAATTCATGCCTGTGTTGACAAATCAAAGCCATGATTTTCGAACATGGAACTCAAAGAAAAAGCTATAATTCACTCAACTGATTACTATACATATCTAGTGTTTTTGTTTAGTAGCATGGAAATGATAAGGCCTAATCCCATGTAGCTATATTAACTCACCATAAATGTAGCCTACATCGAAATGTATGTTCAATTGCATAAGAATGCTATTAATATCCACAGAACACTGCCACAATATTTAGAAGTGGTCCTATTTAAAATGTCTTTACGTCTAGCTGTATGCAGAAGTATTCCCTGTGTGTCAGTGATATTTAGTGAAAAAGTATAAGCGTTTAATTTTCAGTCTTCAAATATCAAATAAATGTTGACATTATCCCTAAATAGGCCTCCTGTAGCTCAGTTGGTAGAGCATGGCGCTTGCAACGCCAGGGTTGTGGGTTCGATTCCCACGGGGGGCCAATATGAAAAATTTATGCACTCACTATCTGTAAGTCTCTCTGGATAAGAGCGTCTGCTAAATGACAAAAAAAAAAAAACAATAGTAGGCCGCCTGTATTTTACAAAATTCTCAGCCTGGAAGAGATTACTAATATATTTACCCCAACTAAACCCTTGATGCAGAATAATCCACTAAATGCTCATTAGATTTAAAAAAACAAATAAACATTTCCAGTTTAATTTGATGAATAATGCATTTGCCCAGTGGCGAGGCCGGACCCCCTGGATCAGATGACATTAGTAAGCTAATGCTCAATTTTACATTTAGCCCCTGAAAATTAACTAGTAGCCTATCGTTATTATCACCTCAGTGAGAGGCCAATTTATCTTTCTCTCTTATGCACTGTAACTTCAACAGAGCTAAGGCATTTCCTGAAACTCAAATAAATGTACTACCAATCATTAGTTGTGTGTTTGAAAAGCAGAGGCATCACATAATTCATTTAGTTCATTTTATACGTTCGTTGAAATATAATGTGTACGGAAATTTATAAATTGTATAAAATATGTTTGAAATATGTATTTCTTTACTTTTTGCATTCACAGCCCTATAATCCAATCAATTCAGCATCCTTGTTATATCAGACATTTTGGCTAGACTTATGAAGAACAGCTTTTCACCGGAAAGATGTGCTCTCTAACTAGACAACAATAAGATGTCAGGACACCTCTCCTCCGACACTCGAATCACCCTGATTACACTAATTGGTGGTTGGCATAAATTAAATCCGTGCCCGGGGGTGTGTGCCTAGCCACTGACGGTAACTGGTGTGCCCTCATATAATGCTCTCGAACTCCAGAAGTAGGGTGTAATTGCATTTTTCAATCACTTTATGTAATTGCAACTTTTACCAAGCATAACAATACGTATTTTGTTGTTTCAATCTTAAACACATGTTTTGCCATCCATTTCCGAGGCTCCCCCATCTCAAAGCATAGCCTATGCAGCAACTAAAACAACTGGATCTCAAGTTGAACTTTTTATGCACGGCAATTGATGTTAAAATCCACATCTCTCATCACCGGTTATGTTTTTGTAGGGTGGGGCGAAATAAGCACTTTCTTGTGCATAGTGAAATGTGAATAGTTTCCTAAATCTTTTGTAGCCTATTAACTTCCCAACCTGTTATAGGGCTATCGGGATATTGATTATGACGATTTTTTTCTTTGTCACATAATTCGTTTTTATCCCGGAAAGGGGAAGTATTCTGGCTGCTGTGTGCCTGTCTAATAAGTCTTGAGCTGAGTCCTGTCCTCCACAACACCACCAGGAGCTGCTTGAGGCGAGAAAGCCGGAGTGAAGAGGGACTTGGACTGACTGCTGTTTATCGCGTCACCGTGGACAACCGATCTATGACCACCATATCGATACTCGCGCACCGTTACATTGGCCTGGAGTTAATCATTATCATCAAGACTATAATGTGAGAGACATTTCGGACTCGGTGATAGTTTGGGGTATTAGTCTACACAATTGTCCGGGAAAGATGGCGAGAGCTGCCATTCGCGTGTCTATAGCCTTGGTGTTTTTGGGAATGGCGATTTTTATTCTCAAACTTCCCTCAGTAAAAGGAGAGATGGAAGAAGAACAGCAGGAGGAGGAGAGGTCCTGTCAAGGTGCTTTCGATCTATACTTTGTCCTCGACAAGTAAGTGTCCGTTTTTTATTTATGACTTGTTACGTTCTCCTCACTGCACGTCGCCATGGAACCCGCCCAGTTATTTGTCAACGCAGACTGCTGCGGGGAGCAGCGCGCCGGTCTCCCAATTATTTCTCTCATATCTTCAAAACCGCCCTGACAAGCAAGCTATGCTACCAGTAACCTTTCTGCTATTATATTGTCATTCAAAGGATGTTGATGGAATACATTTCCTCGACAATAAACAAAAAACATTAGTGTATGCTATATTTTATGTCTTTACTTTTGTATTGTTTCAGATTCAATTGATTGAATAGGAGTGTCTGTCATTAACTTAATGTGGTCATTAGTTTGTGTAGCATATTTGGATGTAAACACCTCGTTCATTATGACAAATGCATAGTCCTCCCCTCCAATTCACTGAAAGCTTGTGAGGAAAACAGTTCTTCTCCCCCAGGGGATAGGCAGGGCAGGCAGGATGCAGGGATTGAGTTACAGGCTGATGAAGCCAGCAGACACTGGTGCAGCTGCCAGGCAGACCATAGGAAGCTATCCCCCTAGACACTGATCTGAGGTCAGTGTGGGGTTTTCCCCCAATGGTTAAAGATAAGATTGGGGAGGGAAAGCTGATTCTAGATAACATTCTCATGGGCACAGAACAGCAGAGTGAATGATTAACTGACAGACAGTCAGTGAAAACCTTGAAGAGTTATGGTATTCTGACTGCACAAAGACCTGCTGTTAGAGGCCATTAAAGTCTTCAGTACAGTGTCCACTCTCTCATGCTGCTATTGTTTCTAGGCTGCTGTTGGATGCAAGCACTGTGCTGTAACAAGGTAGAATTAGGTGGTGTTTTACATTTTATGTCAGACTTACATGTGCAATTAGGGTTAAGTGCCTTGCTCAATGGCACATCGACAGATTTTTCACCTAGTCAGCTCTGGGATTCAAACCAGTGACCTTTCGGTTACTGGCCCAACGCTCTTAACTGCTAGGTTACCTGCCACCCCAGGCTGTACAACACTGGTATTCAAGACAAAGAATAAGTGTAAAAACAGACATTTGTCTGTGTAAGACTTGCGTTAGCTCCCCGACAGTCTTGTGGCATACAAACGACCCAAGTTCAAACCCCAGTCAGTCACATCCTCAGCATCACATCAGGCTAGCTGCAGTTCCTCACACTGGTTTCAGAAACAGAGAGAGGTGTTGATGAAATGTTGTATATCTTTCCCCTGTTGTGCTTTTTTTACCTTTTGTATTGTTGTGCCACTGCCAACATCTGTCAGCCAGCCTTTACACGTTACTCTTTAATCCTGAAAGTTTAAAACACGCCTGAGGTGGCTGGGCTGCCACGCATGGCCATGCCTCACTCACACACATGCACGTATGCCCGCACGCACACACGCAAGCATGCACACACACGCAAGCATGCACACACACACACACACACACACACACACACACACACACCTCCAAGCTTCTGGTACTGTGTCTCCATGTTGTTGTCTGGCTGTCTGGGTTTTTAAAATGCCAAGCAGTAACCACAGAATAATCCTCAAGTATGAAAGTGTTTTAGCTGCCTGTGAGGTGGAGAAAGGCCTTGACTTGGTCATGTTTATAATCCTTTACGTTTCTGGCCCAGCACCTAAGTATACTGTGATGTGTGTATTACAATGTCACTTTCCAGTTATATACACAGTATAGCAGAGGAGCAGACTAAAAAGGAGTCCCAGACAGTTGGCAGATTAGAGTTTATACAGAAAACACATGAACACACACACACACACACAGAGAGACGCACACACACACGGCCCATAAAGGAGACTCACACACGCATCATTTACATGAAATGACTCCCTTCATTGACTGAGAGTGTATATCTTATGTATTGTCTGATGTAGACACACCTATGAAAACGCTAGTACGCCACTGCTCTTAGAGGCTATAATTAGTGTGGTTGGATAAATACATACAGACACACTGAACACAGCTAGAGACGTAAAGAGATGGCGTTTCAACATGAAGTTTATACCAAAACGCCAAGAGGCAGCAATGTGTTAACGCACACGCAAACACACACACACATACACACACACACACACACACACACACAGACTCACACTCAAAGTCTCTCTATTTATGACTTTTTCCCCCATTTATCCTTTCCCCCCCACACACACACCTCTTTCCTCTGCATAGTGTGAGCCCTGTGTCCCTCCGTTGTTCATGCAGCAGCCTTTTCAATCCCCAGACCCCTAACCTGTTATTAGGTTTGCCCTGCTCACTAGGACCATCTGTTCCCCCTCACACAGACAGCCATTGTGGGGGAGGAGAGGGGGAGACAGGGGGAGGAGAGAGGGAGAACACCGCATGTTTCCTGCTGGAGGCAGATTGGAACATCTAGCCCCCAGCCTCCTGGCATTATTAGCATCAGCATTATTACCAGCAATTAGCCCTCATTAGCATTATTAGCATTAGCCCCCTGGGAAATGAGCTCATCCAACTGACTGCTGTTGAATCCTGGTTGTTAGCGCTCCACATTACAAAGTTGTGTAGCTTACATACGCTACACTGACAAGCTTCCGTTTTTCAATTATACCATATGCGTTACACCCGTACATGGTGGTGCAGTGGTTGAAACGTTGCTCACGGAAATGTGGCAAATGGACATTGTTATAGTGTTAGTTTTGTTTTGTTCCTTCAGATCTGGCAGTGTGAAACACCACTGGATAGAGATCTACTCCTTTGTTGAGCAGCTGGCTGAGAAGTTCATCAGGTAATATCTTTCATACTGTAGTATAGCTTGCCTCTTTAGTTTAATCTTGCCTATTTAGCTGCATCTCTGTAGTCTAAAATGGCTCCCTTTCCTTGTGTCCTCTTCTGCACTGACATAAAGAAGCCTCTGACAGTACTGTTAATCCCATCTATCTACAGCCCCATGTTACGGATGTCCTTCATCGTCTTCTCCACTCGAGGAACCACCATCATGAAACTGACAGAGAACAGGTACTGAGTTACACACTGTCATTTATTTACAATTTCAACTGCCAATATTTTACCTTTCAAATCCATTTCAGGGGATCTCTCTCTCTCTCGCTGTATTTTACCGCTGTGTGTCCCTTAGTCTTCTCAGTCCTCCCCCACTGTATTTGATCAGCTGTCATTCCTCTCCTCTCCTCCCCTTCACAGGGAGTCCATTGTCAGAGGTCTAACAGCTCTGAGGAGAGAGATACCAGGAGGAGACACCTTCATGAACCTTGGCCTGGAGAAGGTAACACTATCGCCCTCAGATACATCACCTCTCACTAACTAACTCATAGTATCCATACTGTTTTATGTTTGATATCAATACTCTCTTTCCATTTGCAGGCAAATGAGCAGATACATTATGAGAACCATGGTAAGTGTCTGTGTGCTGTGCTGAGTACTTGTGTTTTGTATTGGTGTGCATATATACAGATATCTCTATATATGGCTCTGTTAGTATGTATTTGAGGCTCCTCTGTCCTCCACTCGTTACCTGTAGTAATGGCATCTGTTTGAACTTGTTATCAGTATAAAAGACACCTGTCCACAACCTCAAACAGTCACACTCCAAACTCCACTATGGCCAAGACCAAAGAGCTGACAAAGGACACCAGAAACAAAATTGTAGACCTGCACCAGGCTGGGAAGACTGAATCTGCAATAGGTAAGCAGCTTGGTTTGAAGAAATCAACTGTGGGAGCAATTATTAGGAAATGGAAGACATACAAGACCACTGATAATCTCCCTCGATCTGGGGCTCCACGCAAGATCTCACCCCGTAGGGTCAAAATGATCACAAGAACGGTGAGCAAAAATCCCAGAACCACACGGGGGGACCTAGTGAATGACCTGCAGAGAGCTGGGACCAAAGTAACAAAGCCTACCATCAGTAACACACTACACCGCCAGGGACTCAAATCCTGCAGTGCAAGACGTGTCCGCCTGCTTAAGCCAGTACATGTCCAGGCCCGTCTGAAGTTTGCTAGAGTGCATTTGGATGATCCAGAAGAGGATTGGGAGAATGTCATATGGTCAGATGAAACCAAAATATAACTTTTTGGTAAAAACTCAACTCGTCGTGTTTGGAGGACAAAGAATGCTGAGTTGCATCCAAAGAACACCATACCTACTGTGAAGTATGGGGGTGGAAACATCATGCTTTGGGGCTGTTTTTCTGCAAAGGTACCAGGACGACTGATCCATGTAAAGGAAAGAAGGAATGGGGCCATGTATCGTGAGATTTTGAGTGAAAACCTCCTTCCATCAGCAAGGGCATTGAAGATGAAACGTGTCTGGGTCTTTCAGCATGACAATGATCCCAAACACACCGCCCGGGCAACGAAGGAGTGGCTTCGTAAGAAGCATTTCAAGGTCCTGGAGTGGCCTAGCCAGTCTCCTGATCTCAACCCCATAGAAAATCTTTGGAGGGAGTTGAAAGTCTGTGTTGCCCAGCGACAGCCTCAAAACATGTTGTACATGCTGGTATTGAGGAAATATGATGATGTTATCTGCTTTTAAAGGGACAGCCAGTGTGATCATTGCACTGACTGATGGAGAACTGAACGAGTGGCAGTTTGATACTGCACAACGAGAGGTGAGAACGCACACCAGAGAGAGCACTCCAGATTCAAGTCGAAATGTGATGTTTTTTTGCAGGGCCTCAGGATGTCAGGAGACATCTTCAAAACCATCCATTAGGGGCAAAAAAACAAAAACAAGTAACCCGAACTGGGTTTGAACCCATAGTATATGGAGTGGGAGCTCACTGCTTAGACCACTGCACCACACGTCCACAATGAGTTAGCAAGGCAAGTCTTAGTTAATGGCTAACATTAACCATATAGTTGTTTTTCTGTTTTAACCTTATCTCAAACCTTAATCCTTAACTTAACCAATCAGAATTAATGCCTGAAGTTAATTAACCCTATCCCAAACCTTAATCCTTAACTTAATCAATCGGAATTAATGCCTGAATTGTTAACTAATCGGAAGTAATGCCTGAAGTTAACCCTTGAGTTGTTTCTGTATCCCAAACCGTAACCCTTAACTTAACCCAGTCATAATTAATACCTTAACTTAACCAACAAGTTATTTATTTGTTCCTAATATGCTTAAAACTTCTGGAGCTCATGCGGGAGCTGTGTGTCTAAATACAGGACGTTGCCACTAGGGGCAACGGTGAGTACAATTACCATCAAATAGGCTTGGGTTTTGCTAAGGCGTTGTGGACGGCGGTGGCTGGCTGTGCATAATCCGTGAGCTCCAGCTCAGTTTATTTTTCTTTTACTTCAAAATTTCATCCCAAACATGTCGAAATTTGACGTTTGGAGCTAACTTCGAAATTTGACGTTTGAAGAAACGTGGAAAAATGTCTAATTCTGCAGTGAGACTGTGAGATCTTGTTGCATGCACACGCACGTACACAGTTTGACACTTCAAACTACAAAGTACACAGGCCAGTAGCATCCTACTATAAAATAAAAGTTGGCGTTAACAGATTGTCAAAACTGTGTGTGTTCTCTCCATGCAGGCGCAGAGGGCACGGTCGCTTGGAGCCATAGTTTACTGTGTGGGAGTCAAAGAGTTTAATGAGACGCAGGTAACTGACACACACACATAAATACACACTCAATAATCAATTTTGTCTGTGATTATCTGCAATACAACAAGTTTATCTCCTGTGTGTGTGTGTGTGTGTGTGTGTGTGTGTGTGTGTGTGTGTGTGTGTGTGTGTGTGTGTGTCCTGTAGCTGGCCACCATAGCAGACACCCTGGAGCATGTATTCCCTGTCTGGGGGGGGTTCCAAGCCCTCAGGGGCATCATCGACTCGGTACGTTTGGTATTTATGCCAGAAACAAAGGATCGTTTTTGGTACCTCAAGGAATTCAACACAATACCTACATAAGTGATTCAGTGGTCCTTGTTTAAAATGAATCCATAGAAACAAGTGTATGTATCAGGTTATAGTTATCTAATAACCATTTTGCCATGTATTTTCTTAGTAGAAAGAGTCCTTCATATACAATATGCCCATAACGATCCACTGTCTTCTATGTTTTCATCTCTCAGATCATTAAGAAGTCCTGCATTGAGATTCTAGCTGCTGAACCGTCCAGTGTGTGTGCAGGAGGTAAGAGCTCGTAGTACCAAAGTCGGGTTACACTTCCTATGAATACCCTCTTCGTAATGCATTATAAATGCATTTAAAATGCCTCATGAGCAATGCACAATGCATATTTATCTGTAAAATTGGGCTGAAAATATTGGTTCTGCTATCGCTCTGAGTCTCTTAGGAACAATTTTAAGAACCAGATTAAGCCAACTCGTGGATTCAAATAAATACAGTGATTTAAGTATTCATACCCCTTGACTTATTCCACATTTAGTTGTGTTACAGCCTGAATTCAAAATTGATTAAATTGATATATTAAAAAAAAAACATATGTGAAAACATATTGATTGAAAATGAAATGCAGAAATATCTCATTTACATAAGTATTCACACCCGTGAGTCAATACATGTTAGAATCACCTTTGGCAGCAATTACAGATGTGAGTCTTTGTGGGTAAGTCTCTAAGAGCTTTGCACACCTGGATTGTACAATATTTGCACATTATTCTTTTCAAAATTATTCAAGCTCTGTCAAGTTGATTGTTGATCATTGCTAGACAGCCATTTTCAAGTCTTGCCATAGATTTTCAAGCCGATTTTAATTCAAAACTGTAACTAGGCCACTAAGGAACATACACTGTCAGCTTGGTAAGCAACTCCATTATATATTTGGCCTTGTGTTTTAGGTTATGGACCTGCTGAAAGGTGAATTTGTCTCCCAGTGTCTGTTGTAAAGTAGACTGAACCAGGTTTTCCTCTAGGATTTTGCCTGTGCTGAGCTCTATTCTGTTTATTTTTATCCTAAAAAATTCCCAGTCCTTGTCGATGACAAGCATACCCATAACATGATGCAGCCACCACCATGCTTGAAAATATGAAGAGTGGTACTCAGTGATGTGTTATGTTGGATTTACCCCAAACATAACACTTTGTATTCAGGACATAAAGTTCATTTCTTTGCCACATTTTCTGCAGTTTTAATTTAGTGCCTTATTGCAAATAGGATGCATTCTTTGGAATATTTGTATTCTGTACAGGTTTCCTTCTTTTCACGCTGTCATTTAGGTTAGTATTGTGGAGTAACTACAATGTTGTTGAACTATCCTCAGTTTTCTCCTATCACAGCCATTAAACTCTGTAACTGTTTTAAAGTCAACATTGGCCTCATGGTGAAATCCCTGAGCGGTTTCCTTCCTCTCCGGCAACTGAGTTAGGAAGGACGCCTGTATCTTTGTAGTGACTGGGTGTATTGATACACCATCCAAAGTGTAATTAATGACTTCACCATGCTCAAAGGGATATTCATTGTCTGCCTTTTTCTTTAGCCATCTACCAATAGGTGCCCTACTTTGTGAGGCATTGGAAAACCTCCCTTAGTGGTTGAATCTGTGTTTGAATTTCACTGCTCGACTGAGGGACCTTGCAGATAATTGTATGTGTGGGGTACAGAGATGAGGTAGTCATTCAAAAATCATGTTAAACACTTATTGCACAGAGAGTGAGTACATGCAACTTTTTATGTGACTTGATAAGCACATTTTTAGGCTTACCATAACAAAGGGGTTGAATACTTATTGACTCAAGTACTTATTGACTCAAGACATTTCAGCTTTTCATTTTTTATTCATTTGTAAAAAGTTAAAAATACATTATTCCACTTTGACTGTATGGGGTATTGTGTGTAAGCCAGTGACACAAAATCTCAATTTTATCTATTTTAAATTCAGGCTGTAACACAACAAAATGTGGAAAAAGTCAAGGGGTGTGAATACTTTCTGAAGGTACTGTAGTTATTTTTGATCAAACATATGGAATCCACCATTTCTGATTATGGTATTTGTCAAAGACAGACACCTGACAGTGAATGTGTTCTGGCCCACTGGTTTAGCTGAGTGGTCATCAGAGGACATTATCATAATGCGGTGTGTGAAGTGAGCGCATGGCCGACCAACCATGATGACCAAGGAAGTGACAGAGAGCGTATTGTCCTGCACGGTCATGGGAAATTAGTGTGTGTGTCCAGGACGGTCAGAGGAAATAAGTGTGTGTGTGTGTGTGTATGTGAGCGTGAGGAAATTAGCCGTGCTTTTTTAAGCCTGGCTGCCTGTCTGGCCTAGTTTGCCACATCTGATATCTTAAGTAGCCACTCTGAAAGAAAATGTGTGTGTGTGTGTGTGAGAGAGAGAGAGAGTGGTCTGGAGAGGTCTGGTGTGTGTAGCCAGCAGGATGGATGAGGGCTGACATGACCTTATTAGGACTCACTTAGCAGAGTGCTCCTACTGTTCTGTCTCTAATCCCTTCCGCTGGTTGCTGTGGTGTTCACCAGACATGATCAATGTTCATTATGGAATATAAGAGAGTGGGGGAAGAGGGGGGGGGGGGGGGGGGAGTAGAGAGACAAAAAGAGTAGACTGAGACAGCCAAGTGCAAGAGGAAAATAGTGAGGCAGGGAGGGAGAGGTGGGGAGAGACAGGGAGTGTGAGTGGAAGAGAGAGAGGGAAGATACAGAGACCGGGAGAGAGGGAGAGAGAGACCCTTCATAAAGACTGGTCTGCATAATAATATGCTAATCAGGAATGGCACATCCTTGCCTGGTCAGCCTGTCACTAGACGTGTCCCCAAATGTCCCAAACAGCCGCATTTATTATTAGATTAATGAGAACAGTAATGGTCAGTGAACTAAGAGACTTAACGGCTAGTTTCAAATACCCAGAATAAGTAGATTTAGAGGTTAAGTTGTCAATCAAGAGGAGCAAATGTAAATGTGATGTCTTTAACACATAGATTACTTTAGATGAAACTCTGGACTAAAGCTTTTTACACTTTGCAATAATCCAGGACTGTTTCAAGCACTGTCCATTAAACTGAGATGACTGTATCATATACAATATAAAGGTTTAACTATTTTAATGCATTTTCAATTAACATATACTCTGGTAAGAGCTATATGTTTTCATATTACAGTGTGATAGAGTCAATCTTAAGGTTGTGTTTTTAAAGAGGATTAGACTAAAATCATTGTGTCATTTCCTGTAAACAGGGGAACATACTGAGGCAATATGAAAGTATACAATTATTCCAGGACAGAAAATGCCCTAGTCCGGATGCTGTTATGAATGATAAGATAAGGGTAGAGAAGGATTGGGGCTGTGTTTCACCATGAAGCCTAACCAAAAAAGGATATGAGATGAGATAACAAAATTGCACAGGAAATGTGAGTTAGTGCTACAGTCGCTTCAGGATTTAGATAAGGTTTTACTGTCTATATGGATCTCTCCTCCTGCCATGAGCCCACCGCACAATGATGGCAACACACACACACATACATACTAACACACAAACACACGTAGACGTTCTTCCAGTGCACACACAAGCACAACCAGACGCTCTTTTAACCAGCATACACACACATGTCCCTCACGCTGATATGAAGTGACCAGGCCGCACTGCCTGCAAACAGGCCATCAGATTGGACAGTGAACGCCAGCCACGCTATCTAACCTGACAGCACTGATCACACACACACACACACACACACACACACACACACACACACACACACACACAGGCCAGTGAGAGGTGGTGCTGCTATCTAACCTGACAGCAGAGATTGCTGCTTTCATTAACATCTGACCTCTCACCCAGCCTCCCCCCTTCCCTCCACCTTCTTTCCGCCTTTCCCTGTACCCCCAACCCCTCGCCCCCATTACTGTCCCGTTGCACTAACGTGATTGAAGTGGCCACAATCGGACATGCCAAATCCCCCTACACACACAAACACAGATACGCACATGCAAACACACACACAACCCTGACCTGCTGCTGGCCTATCAACACACACAGTTTTGGCCACGCAAGGCGACAAGAGCACTAGTGACAGGTCGCAAGCCCCTGACGCTCTTGTAAGATGGCGCCGTACTGTATGGCCACCGTTTTGTGAGCTTCGACCCAACTTTGCTATTTTGTGATTCTTTTGGCGTTTATTTTTACTTTATTTTCACAAAATGTATCCGCTATCATTTCTTATAACTGACAAGAACTTTTGAACATCAGATCTGCAGTTACTTACCTAAATTCTGGCTTCAACTTCGACTCATCTGCTCTGGGCTCTTTCTGTAATTCCGACTCCATTTTCGGGTTATCCAAGAGGAATCGCCGGCGTTACAGAGGCAAGAGAGGGGGAGTCCTTTTAAGATTAAGACAAAGGGAAAACTAGCCACCTCTTCCCTCCATTCTATTGGCCAATGTACAGTCACTTGGTAATAAGATGTTTGACCTCCGATCGCAGATTTGCTACCAACGAGACTCTCGTGACTGCAATATTCTCTGCTTTTCTGAAACATGGCTTTCGGACAAGATACCTGATTGTCAAATGCCTTTTACTTCCCGAGCGAGCTTTCAGCTGTTATCGTGACATTCCACCTCAGGACAAGAAAAATAACAAGCTAGCACTTAACAAACTGTACAAGGCTATAAACAAGCAGGAAAACTTGCACCCGGAGGCTGCTTTCCTTGTTGCCGGCTATTTTAATTCCGCATCATTAAGTCACGTAATGCCCAACTTCCATCAACACTTCTCTTTTGCCACTAGAGGCAATAAAATCCTAGACCTCTGTTACTCTACCCACATGCAAGCGTACAAGGCTCTCCCTCGTCCCCCCTTTCAGCAAATCAGATCATGACTCCGTACTCCTGCTTCCTATTTACTAGCAGAGCCTCAAACGGGAAGTACCCGTGACTCTCTCCGTTGAGAAATGGTTATCAGAATCAGAGATTATGCTACAGGACTGCTTTGCTAGCGCTGATTGTAATAAGTTCAGACTCCACCGATAACATCGATGAGCTAACCACCTCTGTCACCGGCTTCATTAGGAAATTAATCGGCGGCGTTGTCCCCACAGTGAAGGTTTGCTGCTTCTCCAATCAAAAGCCCTGGATTAACACTGAGGTTGGCGCTAAACTAAAAGACAGGGCTACCGCACACAGGGCTATCGCAGACAACCCTGAGGCTACAGCTGAGGACAACAAGTACAAGTAGTCCCTCTACAACCTCCGCAGAGTCATAATATATATATTTTTTTAAGCTAGCAGGCATATTCAAGGTCATTTTCAACATCTCCTTGTCCCAGTCTGTAATCCCCACATGTCATAAACTGACCACCCTCATTCCTGTTCCCAAGAACTCTAAGGTTTCATGCCACAGTGACTACCGACC